CTCCAAAGCTAGACAGTGAACTTGCAAAAAGAGATCTCATCACATGATACCCCTGCTTTAACCATCGATTGCACTTGCCTGCCCTCACCTACAGAGGCAAGCTCAGGATACACGACAGTTATTCCATTTATTTATTAAATGCCATCCAAGGCCTTTCTGGCTTCTTGCGGCAGGCTCTGCCCCTCCATGCTGTATGTGGCTTCTCACTCTGAAGACTTTGCTCTGGCCAGCCCATCCTCCCTTACCACTACTCTCACTTCACCTGGTCAGCACCTATGTACCTGAGCAGGCATGGTTCAGGCCTCCTTTCTCCGGGAGGATGCTCTGACCATCCTCTCTGGGGACTCCAAAGTTTTTCATGTATGTCTCTTACCTTACACTTGAACCTCACCCTGTTTTGTGTTCTGATCATGTCTGCTACCCCTACCAAACTGTGGGCCGATGCCATGAGAAATCTCGATTTTTTTTTTTTTTTTTTTGAGTCTCTCTCTGTCACCAGGCTGGAGTGTAGTGATAGGATCTCGCCTTACTGCAACCTCTGCCTCAGGGGTTCGAGCAATTCTCCTGCCTCAAGCCTCCAGAGTAGCTGGGACTACAGTTGCACCACCATGCCCAGCTACTTTTTTTGTATTTTAAGTAGAGACAGGGTTTCACCATGTTGACCACGCTGGTCTTGATCTGTTAACCTCGTGATCTACCCGCCTTGGCCTCCCAAAGCGCTGGGGTTACAGGTGTGAGCCATCGTGCCTGGCCTTTACCTGGATCTTTAGTTAATCCTTTTATTGGGTGGATACTGCCTAATAAATGAATGAATCAGATGCACAGGAGTCCTGGCATGGTGGTTTTGATCAGAGTTGATGGTTAAAGATTCTCTCCCTGTCTTCCTTCTTGAATTAACAAGTTCCTCTGAATCACCTACTCTTGGATTGTTAGCTTCAGAGGGGATTTGCTTTCTTATTCTCTAGCTGCAAGAGCCGAGGTCTGGAAGGGTTAACTCATTTGCCTGAAAGATACCAATGGGGCCACAGGCCCTAGCCTACACAGGTTTCCTGACTTCCAGGGTCCTCTTTGTCTCTGGGATCATGTGGGTCAGTGTCCTCACGGTCATCACCGTCAGCATCAGCATTATGTCAAAATCATGATAGGAAGGAAATAAGAGGAAAAGTTCAGAAAGGACTGAGAGAGGATTCTTCATATTTCTTCTCGATTAGTTATAATAAACTTGGTTCTAAGCAATTCAAAAGTGATTGTTGATCTGAACCTTAAACAGGTAAATATGGAAGAACACAAAACCCACTTCAGATATTTTCAGTGATATTTATTGGGCTGTACCATTGACTCCCCAGATGTTTCACAAAATGTTGGGCATGTTCAGTATATACTTGTTGAGTGACTAAAACAAATGCCTACTCTGTCCCCAGAACTGGATGCTGCCTTAAGTTAATCCTCAGAGCAACCTGCAAGGTCTTAAGTGTTATGCCACACTGATTACAACATGTGGCTTAGTTACATTGTGGCTTATCCAAGGCAGATTTGATTTTAAATCTCTCTGGTGACGTCCCAACTATCGAATGCATTGCTCTGCGTCTAGCGAACCCTTAATAATTATTAATTAATGAGGGCAACTTCTCAGTCTGAATGCTTAAACCACACGTTCTCTGAATATGATGGGAGTTGCAGCATATTTTAATTAAATACTGACAACTTTAATTCTGATTGCTCGTTCTAATACTCCTGAGCTAATAGCACCAAGCTAATGGCTTGTTCATTTTGGAAGATATTAACAGCGGGGCATTGCCTTTTACCCAAACATAAGATCATAATAATTAAATTCTGATATTGCTCGAAATGAACTCCTTTAAAGTAATTTATATCCCACAAACACACACAGATGCAGGCATGTAAGTGCCAACATTCCCAAGAATTTACAGCCCCTTAGAGAAACTCTGTCCATTCCTTTCCAAAATGAAAAGTTTTCTGTTGACGTGATGAAAGACTCCTTACTAGGTTCAGGGGAAATGTATATTTCCACTGATCAATTTCTGAGTTTCCCAGAAGAGGGGAGCCACAGAGAAATCCTGAAAACTAATGGTTGTGGGAGCGAAGTCTATTTGTACTTTATTGCACCAATCAGAGTCTAAACCACTGAATCAGAGAGTGAGACAAAGAAAAATCTTATTGTATGTGTGGGGGAGTGGGGATCGGGCAGGAGACTGAGCATGAGGGAGAGATGGGAACTGCACATACAAAGAGATGGAATAATTTGAAGGGAGGATCCAAGAAAGCAAATGTAACATATTGCATGGATTAATGCCTTCCACCAACTTATACTGAGTGCTTATTGAGTCCCAGGTATTGGAGACCTAATGGCATTTGTGCTAGGGTATGATCCTTAATGAGAGGTTCATGTTTGGGGTTGGGTGGTGGTGTTATGAACCCCCTGAAATTGTACGTAAAATCTCATGTTTGTGGGCACATGTGGGTGAGGTTAGAAATAGATTGGTCCCTTTTTTTTTCCTGAGGACAAAGTATACAGCATGAGTCACATTTTCTAATCCTTTGGGGACTCCCAAAAGGTAAGCAACCAAGATAATAGAATTTGACTCCTCTACTCTTTCCCCAGAAAGAATGAACAAACCAAAGTCAAAACCAAAACAACACAATGAACAAAGATGTTTTTCTTTAGTTTTACTTCCTGTACTTTTGTATAGTCAAAAAGCATTTTCTACCAAAACCTTAGAAAAAGCCTCACCCTTACATTTCAAAGGCAATAAAAAGGCTACCAAGGTCAGGTGCGGTGGCTCATGAACATAATCCGAGCGCTTTGGGAGGCAGAGGCAGGCAGATCACCTGAGGTTGGGAGTTCGAGATAAGCCTGGCTAACATGGTGAAATCCCTACTAAAAATACAAAACTACTAAAAATACAAAAACTAGCTGGGCATGGTGGCATGTCCCTGTAATCCCAACTACTCAGGAGGCTGAGCAGGAGAATTGCTTGAACCCAGGAGGTGGAGGTTGCAGTGAGCTGAGATCGTGCCACTGTACTCCACCCTGGGCAACAGAGCAAGACTTATTAAAAAAAAAAAAGCTGCCAAATGTAGTGAATTATAGAATACAATTCATTGACAAGCTATTAGCAATGAGGTCATGTCATTAGAGACAATTTGAACTAATAATCCCATTGCTAATCCTTGCTTGAGTCTACGTAAATAATTCTCAGTGGGACGAGAAGCATAAGTCACAGGCATCTTCTCCAGCTATGCCTTTCTCAGTGTTTATTATACACCAAGCATTATTTCAAAAGCTTTACCTGGAAGGTGTAATGAAACCTCACAGCTATTTTCTGAAGATAGGTATTATTACCAGCCCTATTTTACAGACAAGAAAACAGGTTCAGGGTGGTTCAATAACTTGTTTAAGTTCCACAGCTAGAAGTTTCCTGTTATCTTCATCCCTTCCCTTAAGAAGTTATAAATGGGCTGGGCGCAGTGGTTCACGATTGTAATCCCAGCACTTTGGGAGGCTGAGGTGGGTGGATCCTGAGGTTAGGAGATCCAGGCCATCCTGGCTAACCCGGTGAAACACTGTTTTTATATGTCCAGTTCTGTGGCATTAAGTACAATCACATTATTGTATAGTCATCACCACCATCCAGCCACAAAATCGTTCTAAGTCTGTAGTTTTTAAAGTCCTTTGCAATATTAGGCTGAAATCTTCCTCCCTACAGCTTTCCTGCAACTGGTTCTTGTTATTGACGCCAGTTAACCAAGGAGGGCTCTTGTCTTGGGTTGACATGAAGGTGAGTTGAAGGTCACACTCCTCATCTACTTCCTGCTCTCCTCTTTGCTGCTCCAAGCTATGGAACCCCAGCTCCTCTAAGGAAGAAATATGAGGGCTTGAGCAGGTTCCCTTTGGTAAAAAGATAATAAACTTTCAGAAACCTGTCTATAGCCAACAGGACAAAGAGACACTGAATTTTTCCATAAAACCAGATTTGGCCAGTATTTTGTTGGCTTTGTTTAAATCCCAAACCTTGTCTTTATTCCACAACCTCTATGCTATGTATGTTCTTTTCAGAGGTGTGTGCTTCACTGTAAACCAGTCACCATTCTACTTTCTGTATCTAACATTTTGACTCCTCTAAGTACTTCATATAAGTGGAGTCGAACAGAATTTTGCCTTTTTTGTGACTGGCTTATTTCACTTACCATAATGTCTTCAAGTTTTCTCCATGTAGCATATGTCAGAATTTTCTTGCTTAAGGCTGAAGAATAATCCAATGTATGCCAATATCACACTTTATAAAGTCTATTCATACATTTATGGACACTTGGCTTGCCCGCACTTTTTGGCTATTTCATGAATAATGCTGTTATGAAATGTGTAGAAATACTGAGTCCCTGCTTTCACTTCTTTTGGGTATATGCCCAGAAGTGGAATTGCTGGGTAATTATTTTCCTCTTCTTAATTAATCAGCATCTTGGGGGACGATGCTTTGAGACTACCTAAAAAACCTTTTATTTTTCTGACACTTTCACCCACTAGTTTTAGTATCCATCAATTTCTATCGGAATCAATTATTCTAATGGTTGCCAAATGGCAATTTTCTGAATCCATTCTCTTTCTGCATTTATGAGTTGGGATTCTACTGTAGGAAATAAACTTCCCTTCTCCCCCTTTATTTATGAATATGGACTCATTTTATTCAATGGGCTACGTTCTTTTCCATTTTACACTATTGCTCTCAGCAATTCTTTTCCCTACGATTCCCCAGAGTGCAAGTTTGGAGAAATGAGGGAACTTTCTGTGTTTCTTTGTCACCATTAAGCAAACGGAGAGTGCAACCTGACTTCCCCAAGTAGAGAAAAATCACTTTCCTGCCTACGCATTTGTTTAGTTCAAGAGGAAACCCTTTTTCGAAAGTGCCAGCTGGGCAGCCCCGCGCGAACTACATTTCCCAGAGGTCTTTGGATTACGTCATCAGCGAGCGCGGCTTTTTGCAGGCGAAGCCGGCTTTGGAGAGCTGCTGTGGCGGCGGCAACATGGCGGACGTGATAAATGTCAGTGTGAATCTGGAGGCCTTTTCTCAGGCCATCAGTGCCATCCAGGCGCTGCGCTCCAGCGTGAGCAGGGTGTTCGACTGCCTGAAGGATGGGATGCGGAACAAGGAGACGCTGGAGGGCCGGGAGAAGGCCTTCATTGCGCACTTCCAGGACAACTTACATTCGGTCAACCGGGACCTCAAGTAGGTACCGGCTTAAGGGGCCGGGGTCGGGGACCGGCCCCTCTCCGACCCTGCCCCTACGTCGCTCGAGTCTTCCCAGGCAGGGACTGTTCTCCATTTCGCTTCATCCCCGTTCTTTCTCTTCGTCCTCTCCAAACCTCTGCCTGCCCCTCAGGGACACCTTACCACCATCTCTCTTTCTCGTCTCGCTTCTGCTGGCCTCCTGGTCCTGTCTGTCTCCCGCCATCGTCTACCTCTTCTGTGGTGGTTCCATTCCTGACGAGGAGGCATGCTCTTCCCATGAACTTCCACTTCTCTGCGCTTGGCAGGTTTCTCACCTGTAGGCCCTCTGTGCCCCATCACGTCTGATAAGAATGACAGTCCAGACTAGGACGTGATCAGTCGGCTCCAAACCCAAGTGCACCCAATCTTATTAGCCCCAATTCCCCGGCCCTGAACTTGGGCTTCATCAATTCCACCACCACCCACCCCCAACCACCTGATCAGTTTCCTCACTCTCCTTAAGGATTCAACTTTTCCTCCTCTTTCTTACAAAGCACCTTCTTCACTTATACTTTATAAGTGTTGTAAGAATTAAATGAGAGGATATTTGTCAGGGTCCTGGCACATAGTAGGCACTTCTTGATTGCTAAGGTCCTGAAGTTGCCTTCCCTTTTATAAAAGAGTCAGTCCCTCCCAGGAAGGTTAGAATTTCAGGATTTTTGCCTTTCACTTCTCAGAATTGACCTGAGAAGGGGAAAGCATTTGGTGAGCTAGTCATCCTTTGATTTCTGGACTGGTTGGATTTTTGTTTTTTCAACTTGGTTTCCTTAGTAACCAGATGGAAAGAGGAGGTAGGATGGAGGAGGAGGAGGAGGAGGAGGTGGCCAAATGATGGGTGCCTTTATGTTTTCCCCCTATGTCGTTGCCATAAATCACACACCCCTCCTCAACTCCCACATCCACTTGCTGTTCTCTGGCACAGCGCCGAGCACTAGTTAATACTTTCCCTGCTTCAGGGGATGCACTGGTTATTCCTCCCTAGCTTCTATTTTTTTCCCATTTTTTCTCTGAGTTTCTTCCCTTTGTGATGTTCAGGATATTATACCCTGCACCATTTTAAATAGAAACTTTAAGAGTGCTGACATTATCCTTTTGCCTTCTTAAATCTTTGTACAGTAGTGCCAAGAAGAAGAAGGTGGCTGATGATTCCAAAATGAATGTGGCATGAGAAGCTGTTCCTAGAGAGTCTTTTGTTGGCAGTTTGGGACTGGCCCCTCAGAACAGACTCCTGGAATGTGCTCTTGTTGGCTTGCTTTCCCAAGCTTCTCCAGGGTTTTCCTGCTAGACTGAAGAGTGTTTGTTTGACACAGCCGCCTCGGTGATGTCTTCCCATTCCATTTGTTTATTTTATCTCTTCTTTGTTTTGTTAAGTTTTACCATCTGTGAAGCATCATGTGCAAATCTTTCCCTATGTGAATGATAAATAATCATCATTTATTCAGGTACTTGCTATTCTGCCAAGTGTAATGATCTGCACGTGGGTCTGGAAACTCTTAGTGAGAGGCAATGTTAGCCCACATTTCAAAATTCCAGAAAGTCTCCTCCCCACTGCAGAGATGAATTTGAGTTGTTACATTCTGATTGTGGGAGTCTTTTTGATTCTAGTCCCCTTACCTTTTTTTTCTCCTTTGGAATGGCACCAGGGAACTCCGTTTTAAAGTCAGATAAACCCTCATTTAGGGTCTTTTTGTTGTTGTTGTTGTTCTAAATGTTTTTTAACCTTTCAAAAAGTATTTCTTCTTAAGGGATTTCTGATGGATGGTTTGAAGAACAGTCTTTGATCCTGGGGGCTGGCTTCACTTGGAGTGTAAATGGGCTTAGGTTTATTTGCCTTATCTCTTTGATTTTCAGTGAGCTGGAACGTCTGAGCAATCTGGTAGGCAAGCCATCTGAGAACCATCCTCTTCATAACAGTGGGCTGTTAAGCCTGGATCCTGTGCAGGACAAAACTCCTCTCTATAGTCAACTCCTTCAAGCATATAAATGGTCAAATAAGGTAAGGGAGATGTAATAAATGGAGTGATTATATAGAAAGCCAAGTTTTCTTATATTCTATAAATGCAGAAAGCAAGAGTAAGTTTTTAATTCTTTTTATGTTTTTGATTCAGCATGGGGTTATAGAGTTGGAAGTTTCAGAATTTTTCTGTAAGCTCTTTTGTAGTCCTTTGAAATCTTTAGGGGCTCATGATGCTCAGGTAATGACATATTAAAAATTCTAACTCAGGTGTGTTTAACCTGGAGACTGAGTATAGAGCGCAACGCTAATGAGCCCCTTAAAATGATATGCACTATGTTGTGGTATGTGCCTGTATGTCTGGAGAAGCTTTCGTCAAGTTCACAGAGGAATCTGTGGCCCCTAGGAGGTGTCTAAATGTGTAGCTGCTAACATTACTTTATTGTATTGTCTGTTCCTCTGTCACAGATGGATAGGCATCACTAGAATACCGTTTGTTAGATGACTCTCTAATTACTTTAGATGCCACCTGAGGGAGATTGTTCTTAACATGCTCTGCAGAGTTTTATATTCATGGTTTCTTTCAGCAGGCAGGCCTGTGGCAGAGACCCTAGGACGGCTGCAAAAGGAAAAACTAAACTGTCGTTGAAAAATAACAGAAACAGTTAGACTCATGAATCTGAAAACAGTTCATTTGTTTACTAACAAGTTCCTTTTGTTTGGGTGCTGTATGTTGTGGCATGCATGTGTGTATGGTTTTTTTTATGTTGATAGGGAACTAGAATACATACATACACACACACACACACACACACACACACACACACTTTAGGAATGATTTTGGAAGCTTTTTTAAAATTATACTGTGCTGCCTCTTTGAATAATTTTTGTTAGAATCATTGGTCGTTTAACTGGATGCAGGGTTGTGCCATTTCCAGTAATTCATTGTCATTTTCCTCTTTTCTTTTTTTTTTTGAGATGAAGTCTTGCTCTGTCACCTAAGCTAGAGTGCACTGGCGCGATCTCAGCTCACTGCAACCTCCCTCTCCTTGGTTCAAGCGATTCTCCTGCCTCAGCCTCCTGAGTAGCTGGGATAACAGGTGCATGCCACTGCACCCGGCTAATTTTTGTATTTTTAATAGAGACAGGGTTTCACCATCTTGGCCAAGCTGGTCTCGAACTCCTGACCTCATGATCCACCCGCCACGACCTCCCAAAGTGCTGGGATTACAGGCGTGAACCATCATGCCCGCTCCTTTTCCTCTTTTCCCCTTAGGTCTTAGATAAGAGATAATAAACCTTGAGAATTTTTCTGGTGCGCAGAATTTTTTTTCTTTGAATTTCTCTGTGAGGGTGTTTTAGTATTCTTTGGTTTGCAGTGGAATACTGGGAGCTGCATTGCATTTGGGATTCAGTAAGGAGATTTATCATGGGGTACTAAAGAAAGAACTTGAACCTTGAATGCCTACATTTAGCTTATAAGGCCTTTCCCCAAAACTCTGGGCTGCCAGTGACAGAAACCCAGCTGGGTCTAGGTTTAGCCAAAACAAACAAACTAACAAAACAGCAGGGAGGCCTTCATCACTTCAAGGAACTAAAATGTTCAGAGAGTTACTTGTCTGAGGCTGAGCTCAGGAGGATCAGGGTGCTTGGGTGGTGTGGCAGGAACATCACTCTCCTGCCCTCTCTAGGCCTGCTTGCCTTTCTTGGCCTGATGCTCTTCAAGTGGCAAAAAACATTGCTCAGCAGTTGTGGGTATACGTAGTTCTTATACCTGGTGACCTCCTAGTGTCCATGTCAGGCCCTGAGAAAGGATTCTGACCCAAACTTGACAGGTGCCCTCTGAGATGATTCATTGCATCCATGGGTGGGATCCTTAGCTCAGAACACCTGAAACACAGGGAATGGGGCTCCTTGGAGTTGGGAGAGAGGGCGTTCCCAGAAGGAATGGATGCAGGGCAGATGAAGAAATCACAGATGTCTGTTGCAGTTTTTTAGGGCAGACGTGGGACTGTTCCAGCTCTACACAGATAGGTGTTTGGAAGAGGAAGCCATGTTGATGTATCCCATGGGTAAAGTTCTCGAAATAGGCTACAGTGACAAGGACTGTTCAGTGGTGGGAAGATTCAGGCCAATCTCAAAACCATGAGTGACTGAGACACTTTGCGGACGTGACTAGTCTTATATTGAAGTGATGACTCTGAATTTTTGAATGAAGGTGGTTTAATCACTGAATTGTTCCACTATTAGAAGTTCCTACTTCAACCCCCCGCTTGCCCCACAGTGGAAAATAGGTTGTATTAACGAAAAGAAATTATGTATGTGGAACTTCTTGCGCTGGAAATGCTACAGGTTAAAAATATCCATATGCGTTTATCACAGATTATAAATCTCATATGAGCGATATGAGGAGATGTTGAGGGTGTAGCCATGTCCTTGGCCTGCCGAGGTTAAGGTCTTATAAAGGAACTATGTTCTTTCACCAGCACAGGAGAACAGTTAAGAGATTCAGCCACTATTTTAGAGATGAATTAATTGAGCCCAGTGGACCGACCTTGTTTACAGCTCCCAGCTGTGACCAGAATTTCGGTTTCCTGACTTAGTTCAGTGTTGTTTCCTCTAAATTTTGATGTTTTAGTCCAGTTTTGCTTAAGGCTTTCAACTGTAGAAAACATTTTTTCCCCGTTTACCTATATCCTGGAAACAATTCACATTATATTTTGTTCATGAGTCTGTGTGCGTTTTCCTAATTTTTAGTGATTTATCAAAGGGTGGAGATGACAAATGCATGGTACCTGGATTCTTAACCTATTGTTCTTTCTAGGGCAGACATCACTAATCAACCATTGCATTCTTTCTTGCTGAGGCTATGTGTCTGTTGGCTTAGAATCCTTGCAACTCTCTGTTCTGACGCTAGGCAGCCACTGCCAATTATTCAGAGGAGAGTGGCAAGGAAAACATGTTTTTTATTTCTGTTATGGCAGATAATGTCCTATGTGACTATTACTTATCTATACCTTACATTTTTCTAGAAGGGATTTAGATTATAAGAATACACAAACCCCAAAAGAAAAGAGGGAGAACAGGGATGAGGATGCCTATATACATTTCTTTAATAAACATAAGAAGTAGCCTCAAGAAATAAGCCAGTACTCTAATTTCCAGCTGGAAACATGGAAGGAGCAAACAATTAATTAAATGTGTTTATCTTGCCTCTCATACAAATGAAAAGAGCTTTTAAATTGCTAAAGCTTTCATCATTCATCATTTTACCCTCAAAGAGTTTAAACCAGTAAGTACATTAATATGTTAAGCAAAGTTTGGGATAACTTGCCAATGTCAGCTCTACGCACTATTGGCTAGGAACTGAAGGCCATATGAGAAAGGCTTTGATACCAACCCATGATGAGATGAACTTTCTGTTTTATGTGCTGTTGGCCATAGAGAAGTCTCCTTCATGCCTGATGACTAATTATTTTCTTTAGGGGATTTTGTAATTTTTTGTTAAGTCAGTTGGAATATTAATTACATGGTACTTGGCATAATTGTTAGAATAACACATTTAAAAATTAATCTCATCTAATGGAATGATGTCAAATTGCTGTGAGCAGCACTTTTCCCGAGCTGAATTGGGGGAAGAATTTAGCTTTTAACTATTATGCACCTAGAGATAATTGTTCTGAGAAGGATGACAAGTTCTCTTGACTCGGGCAAAAAATAATTGGCATCAACGCTGTCCTTGCTATAAAATAGTCAGTGTAGACTTGATAGCGCTTATTATGTTCAGAGATGCTGAGCGTTCACCTGAACTTATTCTGAAGGTCCCTTTCTGAAGGTTTCTGGCATCCTGTCACCAGGCTTTTATTTCTGGCTTTGATTTTTTTCATTTGTTTTTAGCAGAAGGCTACTTGTATATTTGTCTGGAAAAGCAGACTAAGACGTCCGCCTTTCCCTAGCGACATCTGAAACTGCAAGGACCCTAGAAGCGTCACTTTTTACTGGGCTTGGGAAGTGGGCCCAGAGCGAGGTGCTGTTGCTACCTTTTATTTTATTTTTTTTTCACGTTTGATTTTTTATTACAGAAAGACAACTTTCTATTCCAAGAATATTCCACTGGAAAGTCTGAAGACATTTCCTCCATCCTGCCCTTCTGAACTGTTCTTAACAGAAGCCAGTTGCTTAATGACTAAGTTACTGCAAAGTTCACCTCTCACATCCATCTCTGAAGGTGCTCTTTTCTGTTTTTGCATCTTGGAACTAACAGGGTTGGAATTTGCAACGGAGAGTCTTTCCTTTATGGACTCTGTCCTCTTTAAAGGGTAAACTATAAGCCCCAGGGGAGAGGTACCATGTCCATCTTGTTCCTTGCTGGGAGTCCCCAGCACCTAGCAAGGCGCCTGGTACACAGTAAGCATTCAGTTATGATTCACTGAGTGAATGAAAGAATAAATGAATCGAACCTTTTTCTGTTGAATTTTTAATTTATAAACCCTTTTGTGGTTTGCGTGCTTGTATTTTTGATGAAGTCAATGAGGGCATTTCCATTTTCAGCTATTACTGAGAAAGCCAGTTGTGCTGCTTGCAGATGAGAGGAAATTTGGAGATCTTATGATGGAAGCTAGGGCTGGGGGTGATTTGGAAGGCCAGGGTGAGGTCAGTGGGTAAACTGATGATAAGCTCTTTGAGGGCTGAGTGCAGCCGTTTTAGCCACATCATCTGTCACCTAGTGTGCCCTTCTAATGGGACTTGGTAGAAGTTTTTTGGAGTTGCCTGAGTTGGGCTAATTTAAGCTGCTGCCCCTGATGGCAGGTGTTCTGTGGCAGCTGTCATTTTGGCAGCAATGTGAAAACTGTCTGGGAAGAGGAGAATCAACTCTACCAGCCTCTTAGGGATTATCCCATTTTGTGAGTTACCTATAACCAATTTCTGTTAGTGTTTTCCTTCCCACCAGGCCCATCCTGACTCATTCTTCTCTCCGTATAGCGAGATGTTCAGGGAATATAGATTCATTCAGATTATAATAGGAAAGAAAATCACCTAAA